GGCGAGGTGTGCGCCAGAGTCAATGCTCCTCCTCCGCCGGCTCACGCGGCTCGAGTCCGCTCGCGTCCGGGTCCAAAGGCCCCAGCGGACCTCGGCTCGCAGCACGTAGAGTAGAGTAGAGTACACCCCAGTGTACTTTATACCTCAGCTCATGCGTTCGTGTAAGGGATTGTCCAGGAAGTACGTATCTGTTTTTTGGCAGGTTCGTTCGGGCAAATCACGGATGATGGGCGCCTGCGAGGCTCGGGGTAGGCCACCCCGCAGTACACGCATGCACCGCAGGCAAGATGTTGCCTACCTACAAGGCGCCATGAGAGCTTTCGTTCGGTTCAAGTTGTTTCGTGCGCCCCTTCGTGCCTCCCTGCTGCCAGAGCACGCTGCGGACTTGGCCGTCCCATTAGCGTACATTTCGTATGCCGAAGCGTTTGCGACGACGCTGTTCGGCAAATGGTCGGGTTTGATATCCCTCCCGACCGTCGTGGGGTGGGGGTTGGGGAGGGGGAGGAGAAGTGTTCTAAACACAAACGAGAGCGCGAACGTTATGAGCCGGAGGGACGGCGTGTCGAGCGTCACTTGCGCTATGCTGTTGGTTCCGCAGAGGCGCGGGTGCGAGGGAGACGGAAAATGGCTTGTTTATTTACGGATGGGCCGTAACTGTAAATTTGTTTGCTGTCACAACACGTGTATTTGTTGGGGCGATAAGCTTTCCGGACAACAACCGGTGTGCTCTGCGCCACTGCATTGGCAATGAAAAAAAATTATATTGCATGTCACGAAGCGATCGCGTGTAGGAGGAATGAAACCCAATTTGTTAATTTGAATAGAACTCTTTTCGCCGTCGGTCCGAGTTCTATTTGTGGGTGTTGGAAGAAACGGTGGCAATGCGAGACTTTTAGCTCGCGGCACCCGGCACGACATCACGACAAAGTAGCCACTTTGCAACGTAAAATAAAAATACAAGTAGTATTGGCGAGTTTTTCTTTGGAAAGGGGGGGGGGGCGAGCAGAGAGAAAGGGTGTCGAGGAGGGTTGAGGGTGTTGAGTGGGGTGCTTAATTGGCGTATCGTGTCGTCCCATTAGCAGTGCGTGTCACACCGCACGGCCCCACCTGGCTGAATTTCTCATCTTCCCGTCTGTCTCTTGTGCACGGCGAGGCCGTCACGCACGGCGTGGGGCGGGGTGGGGCGGGGCTGCTCGGCTGATAAGAGTCGAGCCCAAGTCGCTGCCGGCTAAGCTCGGCCCGGGTGTACCCAGGCACGGCCCGGCCGCGCCGCGCCTGGCGCCGGTCAGGTTACTCGGGCCGCGCCTGTGCACAAGGTCGACGCCGTGCCTGCCGCAGGCCCCCGCCATGCCTGCCCCAGGCCGCCGCCGGCAACGCTGCCGCCGCCAGCGCGCGGGCGCGTCCGGGAGGCGCGTCCACGTGTGTGTCGCGCCGCGGGAGCGGGGAAGAGCGCGGCAATGCGCGACGCGGACGCAGCCCCGGCCCGGCCAGCGCAGCGGAGCACACAGCAGAGCCCCGGGCGTGCGTTTTGTGAGCGAATCAGTCAGCCAGTCTGTCAGTCGGATTAGTAGTCGGCGCTGCTCCAGTCCGCAGTGCCACCGTGTTGACGCGCTGAGAGACGCCCCCCTCCGGACGAGCGCGGACCAACTCGTGTCGCAGCAGCTCCAGCGCGCTCGTGTCACCTGTGCCGCTGCCTCCGGGAATGAGCGGCTAAGTGCATAGTGGACGCGGCCGCCATGGGACTCGGGACGACGGCGGCGGCGTCGGCCGGCCTGGGGGAGGACCTCCTAGGGGCGGGCCTGGGCGCCGACCAGAGCCGACCCTGCTCGTGCTGCAGGGACCGCGGCCTGTCCTCGGGCCTGCGCAAGAAGACGCCGAGCTTCCCCTCCAGGGAGAGGCACTTTGCCGTCAGGAGGAAGAACAAACAGCAGCTGGCGGCGCCGCAGGATGACGTGGACCTAGTGCTGCTCAAGCTCGCCGCCGTGGACCTCTCGCCGGCGCCGCCCCCCTCCCGCTTGCCGGGATGCTGTGCTCCAGAGTAAGCAGCAGCAGCTCGCCCGCAGTGCATCCGCTCTGCTCGCCTCTCTGCGGGACGCGATGACCCACTTCCGGCTGCCACGCCTCGCCACGCCGGCGTCCTCCGGGTGACCCCGGCTGTCACTGTGTCTGCCTGTATCGATCGTCACTGAGAGGGTTCCCGTCGTGGTACTCGCCTGCTGATGGACACGTATACCCCGCGGCCAAGCTGCCGTCGTCGCCTCTGACGTTTCTTATATTCTGAACCTCTTCGCTAAAAGAAAATAAATAACTGCCATCACACTTGGCTTTATGACGGTACAATTTTATTGTTGCTAATGAACCGCTGCTGCTGGCGGAAGCTGTTGTTGTTGTCATGACGTCCCACGACTGCTGCGGGGCCGCAGCGGGCTCGCAATACCGGCTCCTGGTGCAGCCGATGACCATCCTCTCGGCGCGTCGCTGCTGCGTCCCCGACAAGAAGACGCCGCCTGCTGCGCCGGGCTGCCATCCCGATACCCTTAATTGAATCCGCCCCTCCGAGGGTGGATTTGGAATGGGGGGGGAGGTGGAGCGGAAGGGGGTGGTGTGGGTGGACAGGCAAGTCCAGTGGGCTAGAAGGAAAACGCGAGGGGGGAGAAAGTCTGGGGTGTTGTGTTTGTGGAGTATTGGTTGCAAGGGCGAGGAGGAGGTGACGGAGGGTAGGACTTCCAGTGATTTCTTTTACCACCTCCCTGGAGTCACTAAAACGCACCTGCCCGGCGGAGCGAGGCTGTCCCCGTTGCCGGGTGCCGCCGGGTCGGGTGTTGGAGTGGATGATGCGGTGATGGCCTCTCTCACGCCACGACGCCAAGACCGACCACGCCCAACGACAGTCACGTGGCCCTGTACTCGTGGCCCGCATCCAGCCGTGACTGACAGTAATTTCACCCCCCCCTCCCCCTCACCCTCCTCCTCATCACCCCCGTCCCCATCACCCCCACACCCCACCTTCCTCCACCCTTATGCTAATGCCGTGAAGGCAGGGTTCATCATGGGGTCTTCGTCGCCGCTGCCTTTTTCCGAGGCAGTGGCTGACTGTAGTCACGGAGGTGCGAGAGACTTGTCCGCCGATGGTCCCCGTCGTTGTGTACTGGAGGGTGTCCTACGGACCCCGCGGGATTTCGTGGTTATACTGTTCCATGTCCTGCCTACTCGCAAGGGTCCCCAGGGCGCCGTAGTGAGAGGCGGTAGGCAAGCCAACCCGCACGGCTGCATGGGGTACAGTATAACTATACTACGTGCTCCGGGGTCTGTGAGGTGGGCCACAGCGAGTGCCCAGCTGTCTCACTGTCTCGCCCATACGCACACCGCCAGGTCGCCGGATAGAGGAAGGTCCTGCGTGCGGCCTTGCTGGGAGAGAGATATAGCACACTGTGTGTGTGTGTGCTGCTTTGGGCCGATGTTGTGACTTGGCCGGGGCTCTCTATCGGATGGCATAAAAGATAAGGACGAGATAATAGACACACTCTCTCTCTCCCTCTCCGTCTCCCCCCCCCCTTCTCTCTCTCCCTCTCTCTCCCTCTATCCCCGTCTCTCTCGCACACACACACACTCATACACCGCGAGGGTATGGTCGATCGCTCCTGACAGGATAACCGTGCGACCGCAGTGCTCTAGTGCGGTGCGTGAACAGAGGGCGTACCTACTCGCCGTAGTCGCTTGTTGCTCTCTTGGGGCTCCGTGCTGGGGACCTTCACTCCGGCTGCTGGAGGGTGTATTGTAGTAGGACTTTGTAGGGTGAGCGACGTGACCCCCGCTTCCGTGACCGTCTGACCCCGACATTGTTATTCTACCCGGCATCATCGCGGTCCTGACAAACGTCGAGTCAGAGGTCTGGGTGGGACAAAAACAACCACCCCATCCATGGCGTCGGGCACGCTCTGCTCGACGCCGTGCGCTTCGTAGTTTTTTCTTGGAAAAGTTTTATTTTTTTTCCGACGTCGCTATCGGGGCTTGTGGCACGAGGCCCTTACCCGTCGTCCGCCGCCGCGCGGGCCGGCAACGGGCGTCCCCGACGTCAAGTTATGACATTTACTCTGCACGTGGTGCAATTCCGAAGATGTAAGACGGCCTTTGCCGACTTCCCCTAAGTACCGTGTGGCCTTATTAGGGCCTTTGGAGGGCCTCATTAGGGCCTTATTAGGCAGTGGACAGTCTAGCCTGCTGTCCGATCAGCCGTGTGATCCCAGGGCAAACACCGCAAGGGAGGGCTGCGCCAGGTTAGGGCGACACGAGGGGCGCAGGGGATTGGGGAGCGGAGCGGGGAAGGTGCGGCGGAGGGTGCGGAATAGGTGCGGAGGGTGCGGAACAGGTGCGGAGCAGGTGCGGAGCAGGTGCGGAGCAGGTGCGGGCCGCCCTCGAGGTCCTCACGTCCTCGTGTGTCGTGTGTTCTTGCAGCTGGACCGGAGGAGCCTCTCTACTCCTTCCATGAGGACGGCGGCGTAGCCGGGCCTAGTCCAGCATGGGCAAGAGCCCGCCCGCCCACGCGGTGCCCGCAGCGTGACGGGCACGTGTGACGGGCCGGCCACCCGTGTGACGGGGCTGTGACGGCCGCGATGACGGTGCGGTGCGCGCGCGGGCCGGGCCCCGCCCCCGCGCCCAACATGGCGGGCCGGAGCGGCGCGCCCGCGCAGGCCGGCGGCGGAGGCGGCGGCGGAGCGCCCGCCAAGAAGACGAGCAGCGCGGGGTCGGGGCTGACGGCACCCACCCCCGCGCGCGCCGCCCCCGGCCGGGCCGCCGCCGCCGCCCCCGAGGCGCAGGCGCCCCGGTGCCCGCTGTCCACCGGCCTCCTCGACACGAGGCTCATCCCCTGGCCGGGCATGCGCTTCGCCTGCGTCAGGGTGCTGGAGCTGTACTGCAAGGTGTTCAACCAGGCCGAGCTGTACGAGCTCATCATTAGGTAACCACTGCATGGCGCGCCGACCCGCTTCTAGGAGTGCTGTGAGCCGAGTGCACAGGCACCAACTGCTCAAAAGTGTTCAGAGTAGTTTTTTGTGGATGCGTGTTTAGCATAACTGTAGAATTTGACTGAGTAGATGAGAGTTGTCCAGCAGTGTGCGAGTATGTGTGCGTGTGCTTTGTGTGTGTGAGAGCGCGCGCGTGCGTGTGTGTGTGTGTTTTTTCTAGCATTGTCGGCGTGGTTTCCCACTTTTGCTGACGCACGCATGCGTGTTCGTGTTCGCAGGAAGACCTGCCAGAGCTGTAAGTGCCCCCGCGAGGCGCACGATGTCTACCACGAGGAATGGGTCAACGTCTGCGAGCGGCTGGGCTTCCGCACCGACCTGGACCAGGATGGCGCCGAGCGGGCCGGCGGCCTCAAGGGCAACCCCGGCGCTCGGAGCACCAAGGAGCGCGCCCAGGCCGAGGGCTACTCGTGGGTGCCTCCGGGCCTCGCCAGCCACAAGGTGCGTACAGCCAAGGCCAGGGGTGGACAAATCTTCTAACAATTTGTCACAATCACTGTGAAAAAAAGTAGGTAGGTTTACAGGAAAATTTTCCTTGACGCAAGTTGTAAAATTACAATGTATAATCGTAAAAATACATGCAGTATGTATCGACGTCAAATCTCTTGGCGAGTAAAAAATGTGCTGTCGTATATTTGCAACTTGAATTATAATTCGAGTTTACAAAATTTTTGTAAATTTGCGACGATATTTTTCACAGTGATGCATATACCGAGTGACCAATTCTACTTGAAGTGAGACAGATATGCTCGGATATACTGTAAATCTATACGGTAAGCTACATTCCCCCATCGAGAAGCTGCCAGTACGGCCTTAGTCCCAAACATAGTTTGGGAGGCATGATCACGAAGTCGTGGTGCGTTGACACGTGCCCGACAACCCGTTTTCGCCATATCGTCAAAACTACTGAACTGTACACAAAACAACGCCGTCAACATTCTCCGTTCCGAAAATGAAATTAAAATCCTAGTTAACCCCGTCTTTCTCCTTATTTTCGGCGGAGCTGACTTTGGTTTTTCGGTCATCGCGGGCGCGCTTCCGTTGAATAATCTTTCGTTTCATATTTTGCCTCCCAGAAATATTTATCATGCTAACCGAGTAGACTGTTTCGTCGTTGGCAACGGACCTCCAGCCCGGTTTTAAAGTGCTGACTTAAGTATGGGTAGGCCGTGTTCCTAGCTGAGGAGGGCGAGTGCAAGCGGCTCGTCAGTAAGTCGGTGGGGGTTCGCCAGATGACGAGGATGCCTGAGGGAGTCTCGGAGAGATCAGACCAGCGACGTGAACAAGGTATTCCAGACTTGTCATTGTCATGTCTAGTCACCCCAATATTCTAAAGGTCCCTCAGACCAGAACCAGAAGCGGGCTGCATCCGAAGCAGCCACACTGTTCGTTCCTTAAACAGCTCGTAACCAGCTTTGGCCGGTCTCTTTGCTGTAAAATACGTACTGCTTTCTTTGGGGGGGGGGGGGAATCTACCGAAACGAAAACGAGAAAATCTGTGACTGTGAACATCGCTGATTGTCTCACTTCTCGTAGAATAAGTCAGGTGCCTGGTTCACTCCGTAGTTTGCACGCGTGCGGGTTAGAGTAGACCAAGAAAAACTTTTTGTTAAAATGTTTAAGTTCACATTGCCCATCTCGTGCCAATCTATAAAAAACGCTCTCCAAAAAAATTTCAGCCAGATCGGACAATATTTGACCCTCCCGAAGTGGGTACAAAGTTAACATTAGTTTCTTATGGGTCATCGGGCCAAAACGTTACACATTTGGCCTGTGGCTCAAACTATCAATCGTAGACAAAGGCCGTTATCAAAAACGTGATCAAGGCTAAAAACCGAGTCAGACGACATGCCGCTTGTCAAAATCCGTCATCTCGTTTAGATTTTAAAATTTGATAAAACAACTAAAAATAACA